TACGCAGTTCTGCAACAGCAATGTACGAAATTGCAGGTCTTTAACAATGATTAAAATCTATCTCAGTTACCCGTTAATTAGTGATCTGTAACCAAGAAACTTTGTGATGGATGATTTTACCCTCACAAACTGATAGATTGGTAGACTTTAATTGAGGCATACAATTAGGTTAACAAAGTCAAAGTTGAAGTCTGATACTTCATCTCATAAAATAGAATCTCATAAAATGTAATTAACTGTAATTTTTAGTAAAAAAACACAAACGTTTATTTTAATGGGAGAAGCCCATAAATACTAAAAGGCCTTGTGCCTTTCTATATAAACTATGCGTATAATGTATATATATATATTTGTTATGTAACCACTTTTCTGTTAATGATGATTTTTATTCCTACTACTCAAGCATTAGCAGAAACACTAAGGCTAGCTTAGGAAAGCACATATGTACCTAAAAGCAGCACTTCTTATAGAGAAACTAGCTGACGCAGCCTGGGTCCATGAACAGTATATTTTGGCATACGGAAGCCTAGGGCTGCACTGAAATAAACCAATGTTTCATCTGCAGCCTGAAGCCCCCAAACCCAGGGTACACTGTCCCTGCTATCTGCAGCAAAGACTATGCAGGGTTCTATCATTATGGCATAGCACTGTATAGTGCATATAAACCCAGTTACATTCCTTGTCTTGAACACAAATGAAAGAATAATTAGTCAAGATAATATATTTCAGCTATTACACACAAGGCTACATTTTGAGGAATAGAATTGTTACTGCTTACCTCATTCATATGAGCTTTCCTAATGAGTGGGATAAACCCCCAATATAGGAGAAGAAAGATGTAGAAGAGTTTTCTGTTTCTCTTGAGTTTGGACTAAAGGCATGGGATGCATCCTCACAGCCAGGGGATGCTTTAGGGGTTGAAAAAAACAGCAGCTGCCAGTTTCTGAGACAAAACCTGGCCATTTTTAAGTGAGGCAGAAGGAACACCTGAGTTCAGTCTTCCTGTGGTACAACAGAAGCAACATGCGGCTCATGGCTTGTGACACCCTGATTTCAAAGCTGCTGTAGTTGTTAATCCAGTTGTCCTAAAAAGGCAAGACATAGTTGCTGATCATTTTTTTCTAAGCACCAAACAACTACACAGTTGGTGTTACCATTTAGCTTTTCTGATTCTGGACATCCAGTACTTGCTCCACTTTCATTGCAGGAGGTAAAATTATCTTTGAAACAAGTGGTTTGTGATCCATAAGTCATTCATTATGTGGGCTTACTGTTTTGATGAGTACAGCCTATAGCCTGAAACAGTTTGCATCAGAAATATAAGATGTTCTCTGTCTGATCAACAGTTTCTGTCTCTGATGTTTCTGTTTTGCACTATACCTTCCATTTCAGCTACACAGAATCTATATATATAATTGGTGAACTGCAAGAGTGACTTGAGACATCTTAGTATTCTAGTCAGACAAAGCTTCAAAGCAATTAAAGAAATAACTTTCTGTGCAAAAGGAATTTCCTGAGAATAACGACCAGGGGAAGGAGGTGACATTAATAAGTATATTAGAACACCAACACTGAAATTATGCTTTAAAATCCCCAGAGAAAAAAAAAAAAAAAAAAAAAAAAAGATTAAAAAGAAAAACTCCAGAACAATTAACATTCTTCAAGAAAGATGGTAGAAACCTTTATCCTCCTGTTCCTCCTCCCCCCCCCCCAAAAAAAAAATAATAAAAAAAATAAAATAAAATAAAACACCAAAGAAAAGAAAGAAAATGCAATAGTGCCAATATAGATGAATAGGTGAAGCAGTCTGTATGTTTGGAGCACTTTCATACCAGAAGTTGTGCCTTTAATCATTTGGATTACTGAAATAATTTCTCAGTACACCATATAATTTATAAATATCTGCTTATGAAGAAGCACTTACAGTATTATAGATGAGTTTTAATGCATTATTTACATTTCAGAAGCACAAATGTCATTTTCTCAGCATAATATTAATTAATAAATACTTTGTGCATTTAATAGCACCTTTCATCTGAAGACCTCAAAACATCTCTAGACTTTTACAAGGGGGAAAACTGAGGCAGATAACCACTAGGTTGCATTTTCAAGGTTACACTCTATGTTCCTGGTGGAGCTAGCAATAGATACCCTTGTGTGTTGACTATGAATCCTGAAAACAAACCCCCTGGCCCATTGCACTGCATGAGCAACTCTATGTAGACTAATAGATTATTAATGTTCTGACAATCTAATGGTTTACTTAGTTTGACGTACCTTTAGGGCTTTATAATTAAAGAAATATGTGTTAACATTAGTATTAAAAAATACATGTTATAGTCAAATATTCAGTGGAATAAAGTTAACAAATGCTCTATTTGCTCTCTCTGAAACCTTGTGATGAAAACGGCTTATACAAGGGTAGTGAACAAAAGGACTGATTTCACAAAAAGAAAAAAAAAATGTTTTTTTTTTTTTTTTTACCTCTTCTAAATAAAATGTCATAAAGACTTTGAAGCTCTGCATTGTCACTCAAACAGCAGGGCTAGGAAAGAAGGCACATTCTAAAAAAAGAAATACATTTAAAATTTTTTTGAAAATCCTATTTACCTTGGGCCTAATCCTCATTTGAACTAAGGCCTCTCTGCACTTGCAACATAAAGTGACCTCAAAGTGTGGGTGTATATTAGAATACTTTTCCCCAGTGGTATAAAGGATTTAAGAGTCTGAGGAAAAAAAATATTGCTTCAATGTTACCCTCTGCTATATTCCTCATTACTTTAACTCAGTGGGAAAACAAAAGAAATATGAGCTCTTCTGATAAAGTTTTTAGTTTCATGCATCATATTTACCTTTGATTAAAAGGCTTTTTGGTACAACCACTGCTATCTAGAGTGATCATTGCATCATGAATAATCAAATAAGATTAGCCAACTGTGTCCAGATCCAAAAGTCCTATTATTGTCTGCAGGAAAAGCATCATTTGGTTTTAGACTATTTTATAGTCTACCATAATCCTTGCTAGACTATCACCAGAAAACCACCTGAAATTCCCTTTTTTTTTTTTTTTTTCTTCTGAAAAAACATTGAATGTCATTTAACCATTTTCTTTTTATCTTCTATCTATAGCATACATGACAGTTCACTATTCCTGTCATACTGGTGTGTTTTGTGCTTCGTTAGTTATGAAAATCACATGGTGATTGCAAAGCCTTCATGTGCAAATCAAAAAACATAATACAGTTACATATAGCCCTTGACGGTACTCGTCACTCACTACAGGACTGCAGAAAGAAGGTTCACAATTCCCCTAACACCATTATTTTTCACAAGTGTTCATTTTCTATAGCAAGGTAATCAACTGAGGAATGGGACAGATCCTGATCTCTCTTACCTTGGTGTAAATTAGGAACAACTCCTCTGAGATTGGAGTGGTTACTCTGACCAAGTGAGATCAGAATCTGGCTTGGAAACTTTGCATAGTCACTATTTAATTTGGAAGAGGGAACTCCTGTCTGTCTCAATTTCTCAAGTGCTATCTGTCTGTTACCAGGCACATGCACATTAATTGTGTGTTTTAAACTTTGTTTGGTTGAACCTGTCATCCTAGGCTAAAATTGTGTGACCTAACTTGTAGTAGCTTTTGCAGTGAAGGTATCATTTACTGTTGAGTATATTTTACTGTGCTGTTATAGATCTTTTCACTCAACCAGCTGTCTAACATGTTGAATAGTCTTTCATCTTGTCAAACACTTCCATTCCCCTTTCTACAGCTTTCTCAGCCAACATGTACACACCTAATCAATCTAATGCCACCGTCTCCAGACTTTAAAACCAAAAAACACTGTCCAAACTACTTTTTTAAAGAGATAGTCATCCTTTTCCAGTAAATTCGTCATCAAATGGACTGATAAATTGTTAAATGAGAAGAAACACTTCTCTGAAACTGTTACTCTAGGTCCAGCCTTAGAGCTCCAGTTCAGTCACTGAATCTGTCATTCGGTAAAGGCTGTTGGGGGCTTCCCTTCACACCAATCTTGTATATGTTAATGTAATTTAATTTAATAAACAACTTACCCATGGAACTGAGCTTAAATCCTTTTGCTTTTGCTTATATGTACTTTTTTTTTTGTTGTTGTTGCCATTTTTTAGCAAACAAGATTAGTCTGTCTCAATCTGTTCAATGCTTTTTTTTTTTTTTCTTTCTTATTTTTCATCAATGGGAACTCCATTAGTAGATTGATATTTACATCATATAAGAGATGTAAAAAAAGCCATTGGCACTCCTTTCAGGTGTCTCCTGCTATGTGATATAGTACATACCTAACATGGTATGTAGTATTCATTAGGGTTGCTTTTATTTTTATTACTTTTATTTTTATTAGATATATTACCTCCTGAGACTGTATGAAGTGAACCATGTCACTGGGTGAGATTACTACTCAGTTAATAGCAGTTCTGAAATCAGTCAATTGGGAATAGGCTATGTTGCAAGAACCTCTAAAATGCGTATATGTGCAGTGGGGGACAGGGCAGCTCTCAGAAGGGGAAGGTTTTCTGCTGTTGCTGGATTCTCCAGTGGAACATTTTTCAATTGCATGCTCATTTCTATATGTGCTTTTAGTTAAAACAGATAACAACACCTGAAACAAACATTTTTATAGCCAGCAGGTACACATGAAATAGAAAGGCCTGAACAAACAGGTAGAGGTGGTGCTTTGTATTTTCAGCCTGGTTTTGAATTACTAAGGATGGAAGGAGGTAAAGACACTTCAACCTTTAAGCCCCTTTGACATTCACAAAGTGCTAAAAGTCAGCTGGGGTCTAAGCTCTGACAAATTTGCATCTCTTTGAATATGACGCTTGAAAAGCCAAGCCGCTAGATTAAATTTTGCCATGGAGAAAATGAGAAAGGCTTCCATCTCCCAGGTCTACTGGGAGGATCTTTATGGTTGATTTACTTTTTTTTAAATAAATGTTTCTTTATGTGTTTTCTCTAGTTTGTGTCCAGCCTTCCTCTATCAGGCATGCTGTATCTTCTGCCGATTTTTTCAGCCCACAGTAAGTCAACCTGGGCATAGCTGAAGGTGAGAGAATATTTCAATCTATAGTGCATATCCCTTCTGTGTTTTCTGATTAAAATTTGCAAACAAATCTTGGAATAAGCTATACCTGACGTGACTTCTAAAATAATTTACACAGTTTATAAAGCAGGGGCTAAATCCTCCAAACCCTCCCCATGCTATTTGTATGCAGAAGTGATGTGGGTTTGCAGGAGTGGGCCCAGCTGTGTAGCTGAAACCTTACTAGGACAGCAAGCAAAATAATGGTTACAGCAAACCCATAAAAATAATAAACTGATTGTCCATTCAACAAAATCTACTAAAGTGTGAATTGTCTAATGAGCTGCTGTTGTTCAGGCTGACTTGTCCTACATTGACAGTGACATCACTGACGCGTGGACATGCAGCAGGGATGGTGAGGGCAGGATTTGGCACTGTGGATGTGCCAAATCTGTTTCAGATAATGACAAATAAAAGGGTGTACATAGAGGCAATTTTTGGGGGGGTATATAGAAGCTTATAATATGGACTCAATTTGCTATTTATATGTGGTAATTCCCAATTTATGGCATTCTCAAGAAAAAAACTTCACAGATGTTGAAAGTAAACATTGTTTTAATGTTCATTGAAGAAACCCCAAATACACTGCTGTTGTCATTTCATTATTAAAGAAGTGTAATGCTTGCAAACAATCTAGATTTTACAACAAAACTTGATACCACTCCCTTGTATCTACATTTGCTGCTACAGGAGACTCATTATTTTGGGGATTTCTAAAGCAGAACAAACCTTTCCTGTGATCCAGAAGAAAGCCTCAATACTTTACCCTGTCTTTGATTCTTAGCTGTACATGAAACATGTAAACATGTACATAATAGGGATCATACACAGAGCCAGTAGGAGATGTTGATGTTGTGTATGAAAATTTGTGTGTGTTTTTTTTTTTTTTCTCTAAACAAAAATCATTTGCAAGCTCTGTGAACAGCATAAGTAATGAAAAAAAACCCACACAAATATAGCTAGTCTCTCTCTCTCTCTCTTCCTTTTTTTTTTTCTTTTTTTAAATTTATTATTATTTTTAAATTTATTATTATTTTTAATTTCTTGCTGGTTTCTTAGAATTTTCTGGCAGATCGGATAACATCAGAATGAAATGTGTTCTGGAGTTAGAACTTAGCAATGCATTCTGCAGTTTTAACTCAAGTCATTTGGGTTCTGATTTAGCCCAACATGTGTCTCTTGAAATAACTCAGGAGAGCAGATTGATGATATACTTAGAAGAGGAAGAACAGCGCTAAAGACTGGCAGTACTAAACAATCCAGTTATTAAATGCATTTAAGCATCTGAAGAAGTATAACTTTCTGGGGGAAAATATATATATATAATAATATATATATAAATACATGTATATTTCGGAATCCAACAAAGTGCCTGTTGACATTGAAGGAAGGTGTAGGGAGCAGGATTAAATTGTGTGTCCAGCTACTAAGCTGATCCTGAGCATTTTAACCTCAGCATGTTGCTGTCATATCGGGGTATCATTCAGGTCTATTTGCTTCACTTGACACTGTGGCACTCCAGTTGCAGACCCTGTTTTCTTATAGTTAGAGAAAGAAACCTTTTAGAGTAACTAAGTGGTTTAGTGCTTCATTTATCCACCTAATTATTCTTTTGCCTTTCAGAGACCATTATTCGTTATTATACTTTGGTTTTCCTCCCTCAAGTCCAGTTGCTCTTGGTGTTCTCAGGCCAGCTTCCACCTCTGCATGGTCTTCAGACTGCAGGCTGTGCATTCATCCACATCATTCTCTGTTCTCAGATACCCCACCTAAACATGGAATTCTGTTGGTGATAACCATCACCTCCAGGATTATAGCAAACCAAAAGCAGTGGTCTCTGCCAAGTGTATCCTCGCTGAAGGAGAAAAAGCATGTTGCTACCACCCAGTTACATCCCTCCACAGACCAGGAATGCTCAGGTATGCGGTGATCTGCTTGGCCCAGCTCTGAGCCAGCTGTGGTGGGATGGTGACCAAATGCTGCCTACCAGGTTCAGCACAGCCCAGCGGGTATTTTTTTCTCAGAATTAAGCCCCTAACTCCTGGCAAGTCTGCTTCCCAGCTAGGATAATAACTTGGATGCCTTTTTTTAGAGGGAAAAAAAAAAAAAAAGTGAGTGATCTGGGAGCCTCTGAGAAAAAGCACTTCAATACCTCATTTAAATAGTCTTATGCAACGTATTGGAGTTTCTAGGACAACTCTCTTACAAATGAATCATTACAGCAGTAAAAGCCAGTTTATTATTTAACCAATTCAGGCTGAGTGGAGACTGGAGAGTATTAGCACTTGCATTGATTGTAAGTAAGAGTCTAGTAATTAATGATCAGAGTTTTCAGCAACAGTCTTGAGGAGAGAGTGCAATGTGCCTGACTAGGTATGACTGAGGAGGTGGTAACTGAGGTGGTAACTGAATTCAGAATTAGCCTGAAGACAAGGGCAATAAAAAGCCCATAACCCATTGCCAATACTTTTCTACGCACCACAAATGTTACTCAGTGATTACTCACTGCTACACAGTGAGTGGATTAAACTAGGCACTTTGGATCTGGATTGGCACAATAATTTTCAGCCTCTGTATGACGCTTATCCCTGGTAATTGCTAGAATACTTTACAGAAGAAGGCAATTGCCTCAAAAGCCTCCTGGGAATTGCTTTGAGTGGTCAGAAGCCAAACTAAGGGGTGAGGAAATGTCTCTGGTAACCAAAGGCTGGAGCTAATGTACAGATACGACTAGAAAAGGCCACCTTTGTCTTGGTCCTGGCATGTTGTCTTGGTCTGAAGTGGTCAGACTGTGTTACAAATCTGTGCCTACATTTCTTCAGTAAAGAGCAGTTCTGAAAAAAAATAAATAGTTTTTGACTGCATTCTTTTTCTTCTACTTATTTCCCATTTCTATGGTAATATACACCAGGAACTCCTTCTTTAAATCTACCCAACAGATCCACATTTGCTAGAACCTTGAACTTACTTTTCCTCCATAATAATAAATTTCAAAATTATTTTGTGTTTAAGAATATAGGATGATATAGATGACCCTACATTGCATTTATACATATGGTGGAAAAGTGTAGGTTGGAGTCGGCCCTTTACCACACTTTGAGGTGATCTGCTAATTTCTAAAGCTTCAGGATTTACTGTGGTCCATTTTAATGCTTAAAGCAATAGGCATATTTATTTATTTTAATGAAACAAGAGATGTATAAAAATGCCATGACTTCTGAACTTCCAGATTTATGAAATCCTCCTTTTTCTTGAAATATTTTATTCTGAAGAGATAGACACATTTGGGACAAATTTCATCCACTGTATGACAATAATATAGCTGTCTTTCCTTATCTAAGAAATATATAGATATTAGTCTTTAAAGGATTAATTTATTCTATAATTCTTACAGTTCAGGTCACTAAATAATAATAATAATAATAATAATAATAATAATAATAATAATAATAATAATAATAATAATAATAATACCTTCAGAAATAATTAATAATGAAAATGTAATCAAAAATTAAAAAAAAAACAAAACAAAAAAACAGCAACAAAACCTCTTTCCCCTCCTCCTCATATCATCATTGTGCTTGAGTTCTAACTGTATTTGTCCTTCAGATGGCATGATCTTTAGAGTACTGGCTTAATTTCTGATTCATTCAGTGGAGACTACATGGTCAACATATAGCAAAAGAGCACATAATAATACACAGAGTTATGATAGGTGCAGACACACACTCTGGGTGCAGTTCTTCAATGGCTATAAATCTGAATGCATATATGGTTGCTTGCACATTTAAAATCATGCATGTAAACAAATGAGGACAGACACATACACATGAAATACTATCCTCATAGCACCCATGTCAGGGTTATGCAAATTGATTTTGTGTGTGTGTGTGTGTGAGGTACAAGCAGATACCCATGATCTTAAAATGTTACTGTTAACATGACATGTTTAAATACAAATGGACAAGTTTATGTTCCCTTCTGCCCCTTTCTTTCTGTCTCCCATTCCCTCTCTCTCCCTTTCCCCCCTTCTCTCACTTTACCTTCCCAATGGCACTATTTTATTTCAGAAGAAAACTTATGAAAATTGTTGAAACATACACTACAAAGCATTTCCTTTTTTTCCTCTCCTTTTTTTTTTTTTTTTTTTTTTTTTTTTTTTTATTTATTTCAGCAGATAGCCCCCAAAAAAGGCAGGGATGTCAAAGGCTTCGAGTCCCCCCTTTGACATTCACGCAGTGCTGAGAGTCAGCCGGGGTCTCAGCTCTGACAAATTTGCATCTCTTTGAATGTGACGCTTGAAAAAAGCCGGAGCTGCTAGATTAAATTTTTTTTTTTTTTTTTTTTTTTTTTTTTTTTCCGTCGAGAAAATGAGAAAAGCCTCTATCTCTCCGCCGAGTCTACTGGGAAGATCTTTATTCTGATTCTTGTTAGAATTGTTTATCACCCTGACAGACCAGACTCGGACGAGATAAAGGCGCTGCTCCATCACGGGGCCTGACAGTGGTAGGACATGCAGAGAAATGAAAGGAGCAGGGGAAAATATTATTAATAGATGCCGACTTGATTTGCCTCTATGGCACGTCAAGGAAGGAAAGGAGGGGGGAGCCACGGCTTGATTGCAAGCCTATGAAGTTCTGTCCAAAAAAGAAGCTATTTTTCATTAAGTGATAGAAGGGCTTTTTTCATGTTCTTTCCTGAGGAGCTGATAACTTATGCAGTTTATTCTAACCCTGCTGATTTCTGTCAGGGAAAGAAAACTCCTGAAAGATGGCTCCAGCTCGTCCTTTTCAGGCTGTCTTGTCAAAAATGGTAGCAAAGCTTTAAAGCCCTGGTCTTGACTCCTGCAAGGTCCCTTCGATGTGATTGGGTTTGTGTGTGTCGGTGAGCATGGGGGGCCAAGGGAGGAAGGCGTTATGTGCCCACTATGTCCCTCCTAAGGAAAACAAAAAAGCAAAATATAT